CGGGTCTGTCCACACCTGCAGTCATGTTGGGCCGAGATCTCTCTGTCTTCTATTTAAAACAATGTGCAGATTTTAGAAATGGTATCTGCTTACCTGTGTTTTGCAGAGTAGAGAGCCCCCAGACCCAACAGACCCAGTCTATCTATCTGAGCTCATCTTGCGTCTTCTTTCTGTATCAAATCACGTCAAGGGTCACCATCTGATGTCAAAAAATGATTTGACTGACGTGTTCAGAATTTGATACAGAAATAAGGCCAAGAATGCAGGAGTTAAAAATAGAACATGTAATTCTCTTTACAATTAAATATTGATACAAAAACTCTCGGAGCCCTAAATTCTCTAAAACTAACCCTATGCTGAGCCATTCTAACTGTCCCTCCAGGCCTGAAAAATGTGCAGGGGACATCCAGGCGCTCTGCGATGTTCCCTGTCTAACTATCCCTGCTCAGACTGCCTGAAAATCTCCTCCGAGCAGTTTCTATCAAAGGGTCCGATGACGTCACAGTCTGGGACTGGTCTGGCCCCTGGTCTGGACCCGGTCTTGGTCTTCCCTCTCCACCTGAGCAAACAATGCCCCCCACCACTGGGCGCCTGATTGTGTTGGACTTTTGCCCTCGTCCAGAGTGGGAGAGAGCATTTGTTTATTCTTGGAGTCAATAATTGTCCGGTTTTGTAAGCTGGTCATCTCTATGATTCCTGAGTGCATATTCCTTTGTCCTTGGGGCTTTTCCCCGTGCACCTTCTTCAGAGGGCCTATTTTCAAAATCATTAGTATACAACATTTTAATTATGCAACAAGAGGCAGAGCAGACATGCTGCACATACGAGCCCTCAATGTTTTCTGCCGGTTCTGCGTCTATCCTCCGTGAGCTCTCGCTGTCCAATAGGAGCCGATCGTCACACGTGTCAATATGTTTATATAAAAAAGTTCACTTGCAAAAAGGACAGTCTGAATACGAACCGGAGCAAAAGAAAAAGGTTTGGTCCGCTTTTGATTCGGATCAAGCAAGCGGAGCAAAGGACTTTTCAGGTCTGAATACACCCATAGTAACGATATGACTGATTTACAACGGACTTGGGTTTGACATGATGTGATCCTGTTCGATACAGTCAGTATGAGAGTTTAGCCCACATCAGGTTTCTTACCTCAAATTCTGCTTTACTCTATCAATATGAGAGATGTATTTAATATTTGGTTATGGTTATTAGAATTTGTGAAGCGTCTTTGAGTTCTTGAAAAGCACTATATAAAACCGATGTATTATTATTATTTTTATGGAGCAAACCAAGAAATCCTATTTAAAAAAACATTATTCAGTATGTACAGAGTATTTATTTATTTGAATCCTTCATTCTCTAAAACGCTGTAGGGCTGGACATCTTTGGAGATGAAGTAGACTAACTGCTATAGCAGTAAATTTCTCCTGTGTGAGATTAATAAATAATCTTATCATAGCATCAGTTAAGGCCTGGGCCTGGCCGGGCAGAGTTTGTTGCTTGAGGCGTGTTTTGACCAAAGACGTTCGTGATAGACCTACTGCTCACGTCGCCAACTTTTTGTACAATCCAAAGGAGAGGAGGGGGTCGCAGCCGCGGAGGTAACCACGCCGTGCCGTCTACTCAGATGTGTTGCCAGGTTCAGGTTTTCATTCCAACCAGACAGGAGCACCTTAGACTCCACACATTTACTCCAGACTTCAAGTTAAGACTGGACTCACTTGGGGAATTGTATGGAGTCTGGTGTGCTCCTGCTCGTTTGGAATGAAAACCTGCAGCCTCAGCATCTCTTTCTGGAACCAGTTTGACACCCCTGGGTTAGAAACAGTTTACATCAGGGCGACACGGTGGCTAGCGCTTGTGCTTCATGGTAAGAAGGTCCTGGGTTTGATTCCACCTTCAGACCTTTCTGTTTGGTGTTTGCATGTTCTCCTCGTGTCTTCCCCCGGTCTCCTCTTCAACTAAAAACCTGCTCAATAGTCCCCTATAACACCCCACTTACCGCCCTCTCTCTCTGGGGCCCGAACTCCCCTGAATGAGAGATACTATATTCTCAGTGCGACTTAACCCGGTTACATTAAGTTAAATAAAAATAAGTTTAGAGGCCCCAATTTACATAAAATAAATCCTTGCTTTTATTGTTAATAACATCAGTAACATCAGCAGCTTTTTACCATCTAAAAAACATTGCCAGGATCAAAAACATAGTGTCTAAAGCAGACCTGGAGATTCTTATCCATGCATTTGTCTCCAGTAGGTTAGACTACTGCAATGGCCTGCTCACAGGTCTGTCCAAACAGGCTGTAAAACAGCTGCAGTACATTCAAAATGCAGCAGCTCGAGTTCTGACTAGAACCAGGAAGTACGACCACATTAGTCCTGACTAGAACCAGGAAGTACGACCACATTAGTCCTGACTAGAACCAGGAAGTACGACCACATTAGTCCTGACTAGAACCAGGAAGTACGACCACATTAGTCCTGACAAGAACCAGGAAGTACGACCACATTAGTCCTGACTAGAACCAGGAAGTACGACCATATTAGTCCAGTCCTCAGGTCTCTGCACTGGCTTCCTGTGGCTCAGAGAATAGACTTTAAAACAGCTCTGCTTGTTACAAATCTCTCCATGGCCTCGCACCAAAATATATTAGTGACATGTTAGTCCCATATGAACCAGCCCGGACTCTGAGGAGCACAGGGACTGGACTCCTGTTAGTGCCCAGAGTCAGAACTAAACATGGGGAGGCTGATTTTCAGATTCATGCTGCTAAAATCCGGAACAATCTTCCTGAAGATGTGAGACAGGCCTCCTCTCTGACGATGTTTAAAACCAGGTTAAAGACAGTTCTGTTTAACTGTGCATACAACTGAGGGATTTAATATTTTTATCTTTCTTTTTAATGTTCTGTGATTATTTATTTTAATGCTTTCTTATTTTGTTCAGCACTTTGAGTTGCCTTGTGTATGAATTGTGCTATACAAATAAACTTGCCTTGCCTATTAATTGCTTGGACTTTTTAATATTCCAGTATGGCGGCTAAACCAGACGTAGCTGCCATGACTGCCACTTGTGCAGAACTTAAACTGGCCCTCTTATGTCTGGGATCGAAATGTCCTGCAAAAGTGATCAAAAGTAGACCCTTATTATAGTCCCTAAATAGACTAGGACTGGTCTAGTGCGGAAAATAATCAAAATTCAGCGCAAAAAATTTATATTTAGGGTATTTTAAATCACTGTGGCAGGACCTGGGGATTGCACAAGGGCTTGAGCAAAGACACTGGCTTCTTATTTACAGTAATCATTTGTCGTGTCTATATTTATTAAAAGAATTTCTCTAACCCTATTTTTCCTATTATACGTGTATCAGAACAGGAAGAGGACAAGTTCCCTAAGCTCCGTAATCACCTCCCTTTGCACCTGAAACAGACTGAGCCACTCTCTCATTTAAAATCCCTATCCATTCAATAAAAATTAAAAATTGCATCGTCCTAAATCACACCAGTAGTTTTCTCGGGAGGACTTTACAAAGCTGTCGACAACAGATCAGAGAATCAACACAAGAAATGCAAAGATATACTGTAAAACACATAGAGCCATTGGTCCATAAGGGGAAAAATGTTGATAGAGATTGACTTTGTTTGCTTTTCAACTTTTTAAAATTCTAATCTGATGTGTGTGTGTGTCTGTATGTGTGTGTGTGTGTGTGTGTGTGTGTGTGCATGTGTCAAGCCCTTTGCTTCGACTTTACTGTTTTAATACGCTTGGCTTGGACTGTACTTCTCTGTGAATCCACTCAGAGGTGATGTTTCGCAGCAGTCCAATAGATGGCAGAAACATACTGCTCGACGCTGGAGGCCTCTCCCGGTCCCAGAGAGAACCACTGTCACCACCTTACTCACTTTGGCCAAACGCTCTCCAAGCAAAGCCCCCTTCTTCTCTGAACTCTCATATATGCTAAAACAGACGCGCAATAAAAGTCACCGCACTAAACCTCTCTGTACAAGACTTAAGCCAAATGGAGGCCTGGCTTGAGTACGAGGGTCTGCTGCGGCCATTACAAACTGGGAGCTTCACCAAAATAGGATTAGAATGCAACACTTTATATTTTGACAAGTACACACACACACATATTGCAACGGTATATCTGAATGTCAATTAAAATGTTTTGAGGTTTCGCTTGATAGACAGCTCCGCGATTCCTTTCGGTTGTACCTTGACCTAAAGAAAAGTGTGCAGGTCCATAACTTAAGCTACCGAACGAAGGGAGCTGCCAGAACACACAATGGATCAATCAAAAGAAAGGGGGGAATAGCCGGAGCTTGGACTCATGAAAATTCAGAGTGCAGTTTTTTGTTGTTACAGGCAGGTCGCGGACACACAATGACGTCTGCGGTGTTGAAGTGAATGCGTATCGTGTGCAGGGAAGGGGCAGCCGCAAGAAGCTATACCAGGAATAGTCTGTGTGTCCTGACAATGGGGACTGATTCAGACCCAAACAAGGAGAGGCTTAAAGGTTTTTTTTTTTTTTACTTTAGCAAGACTCTTTCTGTCGGGACAGACAAAATGTATATGACTAAGCTTTAGTGACAGTTATAATAACACATTTGTACGTATTTGGCGCTTTTTATGGACACTTAAAGACGCTTTACAAAGAGACAGGTTAAAATGAAACTAAAGTAAAGGGACAAGTAGCTCCGTTGGTAGAGTCTTTGGAACCTATTGGTCGTGGGTTTGATCCCACCACGACCCATGTCACCTGGTCCCACTGATGTCTGCTGTCGTTGTGTCCTTGGGCAAGACACTTAACCCCACTTTGCCTGAAGTCCCCGCTGAAAGATCAAGGCCGTATCTGTGTTGAAGGAGCAGCCATCTTCCCGTTGACCCACCACCTGCAGGAGGATCAGCGAGGGACTGGTGCTTTGTGATTTGGGTGGCAGTACAAATTGCCACCCCCCCCAACCCAGAAATGGATAACAAAGGGGTGAAAATGAATGAATGAATGAAGGCTCGGTCCTCTGGGTTCAGAAGGCTCGGTCCTCTGGGTTCAGAAGGCTCGGTCCTCAGGGTTCAGAAGGCTCGGTCCTCAGGATTCAGAAAGCTCGGTCCTCAGGGTTCAGAAGGCTCGGTCCTCAGGGTTCAGAAGGCTCGGTCCTCAGGGTTCAGAAGGCTCGGTCCTCAGGGTTCAGAAGGCTCGGTCCTCAGGGTTCAGAAGGCTCGGTCCTCTGGGTTCAGAAGGCTTGGTCCTCAGGGTTCAGAAGGCTCGGTCCTCAGGATTCAGAAGGCTCGGTCCTCAGGGTTCAGAAGGCTCGGTCCTCAGGGTTCAGAAGGCTCGGTCCTCAGGGTTCAGAAGGCTCGGTCCTCAGGGTTCAGAAGGCTCGGTCCTCAGGGTTCAGAAGGCTCGGTCCTCAGGATTCAGAAGGCTCGGTCCTCAGGATTCAGAAGGCTCGGTCCTCAGGGTTCAGAAGGCTCGGTCCTCAGGGTTCAGAAGGCTCGGTCCTCAGGGTTCAGAAGGCTCGGTCCTCAGGGTTCAGAAGGCTCGGTCCTCAAGGGTTTAACATTTTGTGGGAGGAACTTGCCACAAAGTGGTCGTAAACTTGGTTGCTATTTATTTATTTGACTGCATATCATTTTCAAACTAAAACATTTTCAGACTTGGAAATTGTGACGACTTCCCAGAAACCTTTGCGCCCTGTGTCCGTCTGACTGCTCGGCTTTTGAGGAGGTCCATCATCAGAAGCGACGTCAGCAGCGACCCTCGACCTTAAAATGCTTCTCTCATTGTTGGTGAAACCGAGCCGGGAGCTTGCTGTGTCTCCCTTTGGCTTGTTTTGTCTGTGTGTGTGTGTTTATGTGTGTGTACTTACTTCCACTTGTCACCCCAGTATGGACCAGTCACTCCTCCTGGAAAGAGTGGGGAGCTGTGATGGGACAGGGAAAGTGGGACAAAGGAAATTCCCCTCTGCAAACATAGAGTTGTCAATGGACTGTGGCATTTTGTTTCAAGGGAAACAATTACGTACTGTATGTTTGGAGAGCCTGCGTCAAGTGTGTAATCGGCATTTGGACATCAGCCGTCACTCCGTAGACAGAATAATGGACTGGGATTTGGCACGGCCCTCGCTCACTGGGGGTGAATCTAAATGTTTATGGATAACAGTAAAACAGACGCGGTCATAATGCAAAAAAACATCCTTGAAACGTGATGGCAGATTCTCACTGTGCCAAATGTGACAGAGGCTCAGGATCGAGGCTCTAAAAGTCTGAAAGAAAAATACTTTGAAATAATGGACAGGGGTAAAAAGATGTCTGTTTTCTACCAGTCTTTCAAAGCCACGAAAGATAACTAATATTTTCTACTCTACCCAGATTGGGAGCGTTTCTACTGGCCCCGTTTGACCAGAACCGGCTTGGCCACGGGGAGGTACTAAAGTCAAATGGAGACATGGGGAGAATATGCAAACACCACTCAGAAAAGCCCCCTCTGGAGGTGGAGTTGAACCCATGGTGTTCCTGCTGTGAGGCACAATCGCTAACTGCTGAGAGTCTGAGCAAGAGACCAGAGAGAGAGACCAGAACGAGAGAGAAGGGAGGGAGCACAGAGAGAAACCAGAGAGAGACCAGAGAGAGATAAGATATGGAGACCAGAGAGAGAGAGAGGGAG